ACTATTCACCTTTTATTATTCATCATCTTCTATCCTAATTACCACTTACCATTCACTAATCAGACCCATTACTTCCTACCATTGTATGCTACAAGCTGAATTTTACCCACTACCCTAAACATGGCTTGAATCGTTTTCTGGATTAAAAACACTGGTTTCCTTATTTTTTTGGGCTATGTCAATTGACTCAATTCCACGTGGGAATGAGAGCAGCAGCAAATAAACTTAACTGCCTACTCGCTTTCCCAACTTCTTTTGACGAATGACATCAATGGCCTCAGCCTCTATCCTGTCTGCCGCCGGAACTGCCACCGCATCTATTACTCACCAATCTTTTTCATATCTCCTCCAAACTCCCCTTCCCTAACCTCCCCTACAGACCAATTTCCAAAAACAGCAGACCACCAACCACAAGACTCCACGTGTCCTCTCCCCAAGCCCAAGGAAGAAACCGTCTTCTTCGACGGCGGCGCCCACTATGGCGACCTCATTGCAAACCTACTTCTGGGTTTCACTCTCCTGTGGCTGTCGTTAACTCGGGCAGCCTTGTCAAGGGCTTTTTACTTGAGATACTGGTTCACAAACCTCCGGGTGACGGTTATCTCCGGCCTGACGGGTCAGGACCGGAGCGATTTCTCTTACAATGTGATCAAGGACGTGCAAGTGGTGCCGCGATTTGTGGGTGAGTGGGGTGATATTGTCATTACATTGAAGGATGGAACTAAGGTTGATCTTAGGAGTGTGCCCAAGTTCAGAGAAATTGCGAGGTACTGTTTATCCATGGCTGAGAAGCCTGCGATTTTAAAGGAAGGTGGGTCTAAAGGGTTTTAGATCAATCTTCTTTTGTTGCAAAGGTATGTAAAGTTTCTCTTCTTTTTTTTTTTTCTTTTTTTTTGTTTAAACACATTTATATTCTTATTGTGAAAATAATGAATTCAAAGTAAATTTGTTCATGTTTGTGTGGAATTGTTGGAATAGGGTGAGAATTTGTTTGCAGCTGGTTGGAATTTTCTCATTAGCATTCATAATGAAATTTATTAGATATCTGAGAAAGTGGTGGCCTTGTGCAACATTTTTTAAAAAAATTAGTGGCATTACTGCTGTTATTTGCAGCTTTTACCTAGAAATGGCTACCTGATTCTGTAGATCCAAGAAACAAAAGGAAGGTATGTATTAATGTATGGTATTTGGGGAGATGATGTGAACTTTTAGCTGTTCTTTTGGGAATTTCCTTTCATGAAATGTAGCATGTAATAGTTAACTGATAACATGAAAAGTAAATATCTGTGGCAGAGAAACAGTTATCATTTGTCAACGTTGTAGAGTTTTTTTTTTTTTGAACGACTGCAGATGGAGCCTATAGTTGATATGAAATGATTTGAGCAAGAGAGTTGTTTCCAGTTAGCAATTTCAAGATTATTGTAATCTGAAAATGATCTACATGCAGATATTGTTACTTTTGATTCAGGTTACTTGTAGCTTTATGGAATTACAGAATCTGATTTCATCTTATATTGTTTTCCTGGCATTTCAACTTTATATTAACGTCAGTTGATGAGGATATAATGTTTATTTCTATTTTACTCATGCCAAAATGATGTTTTAGAAAGGCCTGCCAAGCATTCCGTACTCTCAAAGGCATTATAAGGCTGCAAGCACTGATTTGTTGTCATTTAGTCAGAAGATAAGCTGTTGCTACTTTATGCAGTGCATGGGGAATTGTTAAGTTCCAGGCACTAGTCCATGGGCAAAAGGTCAGACGTACAAATATTGCTATTGAAGTGCAAAAATAGATCTGAGAGCTCTTCCGGTAATTTTTCATCCTTCAATTCATGACTTCTGACGAAAAGATTTGTGGTACTAATTGTTTATGCTGTAGTGTTTGTTTCTTTTCATGTGTGTCTCTAATTTCTTATCAGAATAAGGTAAGTTATGTTATTGTGTCAACATTAATGATAATCCTATGAAATTTTTGGGATGTTATCAGATTGAGGTTAATTATAGTTCTATAAAGTTTTTTAGATGTTATCAGATTGAGGTTAACTATCTGACAAAAGCATCGTATACCCCTACTTGTATATGTATTATGGGTTTCTGAATAGCTGATTTCTTCATGCCATGGCTTTAAGCTAGCTTTTATTAATTTCTCTTTTCTGAAGAGGTTGCTAAATCCTCCAGTGTATTAAGTGTGTCAGCTAGAGTGAAGAATCTATCTAATAATGGTTTTGTTAGGAAGGTATGGTCTTGTTCATTTTATCAACATTTTGATATGAAATGGGGGTCATTTTCTGGAAACTGCCTTGCTCTGTGAAAGTAATGCAAGGGGAGCTGTCATGTTATTGGTTTGATTGGAAACTGCTAAAAGCTTGTTATTTATGCCTGAAAAAAATTTCACAAGGAACATCTAATTTTGTTCTTGATCTTAAAAGTAGAAAACCATGCTGCTGATGAATTTTTTGACATATCCAGACCTAATATCTATTCCCCAACGTCAGTACACTTGTTTGCCTTTTGATTGTTATGAATGGCAAGAATTATGATCTATGAGCTAATAAATATTATGTTTTATTGTGTTCCATCTGCTTTTGTTCCAAGCTATGTATGTGATTATGCATTTCCATTGCTTTCAGCTTCTGTCTTCATCACCTACTGTGTTGCCTTACAGCCTTAGTATGGGCCAGGGGACCTAATTCAACAAGGGAGTGGCTTGAACACTGGATGAGATTGTGCTTCTAGGAACCTCATTTAATTAGGAATCTTGCCTCAAGGTCTCAGGTAAAGGTAGAACGTAATGAACATGAGCAAGGCAAGACCAAACAAACTATCCAGAAACTGTCCAATGAAAAAGTTGAAAATGGCTGCAATTGTGCTACTTCAGAGAATGAAAACATAAACACAATCCAAGGAAAGTTTCCACAAACCCAGCTGATCTAGTTCAGGAACAACCCTAAAATGAGATTGGGAAGGTTAAGCCCAACTTAAGGAAAATACCTGACTCTACAAATGAGATCTCCGGTAGGGCAGAAGTGAATACTGAGACTCCAAATCAAAATCTAAAGGAAACTTCTGCTTCTTCTGTGGTAGATGTTTTTGAGGGAGATTCTGCATTTCTGCTGAGAAGAGGAATGTTGCTAGTGTTGCATTAGCAAAACCATCAAATCTTAAGGCCAATCCAAAACTGTTGACTGCAAGCGATTCTGTTGAAGAATCAAACACCACCCCTGTTGTAGACTTGCAACCTACAGAAAGCAATGGTAGAGTTGAGAACGTGCGTACAACTGATGAACAGTTAAGCTCTAAGGATGGCATTATCAGCAGTGAGAAGTTGAACGCAAGCCGAAGAAGAGCTTCTTTACCTCAGAAGATTGATAATACAGCCAATGGTTTATATAGCACGCCAAAAGTGCTGAGTTATATGGCACCTACTGAATCTGTTAAGGCAAAGCTTAGAGGACAAGGCTCCCCAAGATTTTCGTGTGATGTAATAGAGAAAAAGGGGGTAACCAGGCAGCATTCTCTGCCATCTGCTACCAATAGCAACTTAAGTTCACTATCACCAAGGGTACAGAGATTGGTTCTAGCATCTGGAAAAGGTGCTATGAGAAATGATAAATCACTTTCACATCTAGAGATGCTGGTGGTAAGAAAACTCGAGTCCTCTTTCATATGCCTTGCGTTTCTGGTGTGCAATGTGAGTATACCTTTGGATATATTACTTTTATTTAAGTTTATAAAAGGACTTTTTTGTACATGTATTTATGCCTTGGTCTGTATGTGCACTTGTGCATAAAATATATTGGTTCTTTGTAATATCAAAAATGTTTAGCAGTCAAAACTTTCAGTATTGGTGCAAACTTGAGTGTGATTTCCAGACTAGAGATTTGGGGTTTAAGCCAATTAATGCTCCTTTATTAACTATTTCTAACTGGCCTTTTAACCAAAACCGAGTATCTTTAACAATTGAAGTCAAGGATGATGGCCAAAAAGAGTGGTTTTTCATGATTCAAAATTTATTTAATCTGAATGATTCTACATTCTGACTCTATGTTATTGTTGACTTGCCAATTGTAGATACTAGATAAGCGGATCAAAGCTGACTGGAGAAGGTATTTTGCATGAGAACCTGTTCTTGTTGAATTCCCATGAAGGTAGAGAAACATGCAACCTAACAGCAGGGTTCTCACATTATGTAGTTGATTTCTGAGGTTTATTGTAGCACCAGTAGAATTCATCAACTAATCAAGTCTTTGGTTTGCACCGTGTGTTTTAATTTCCTTGGCACTTTCCTTAGCTATAGATGGGGTAAATATTAAAGGTGTTGTTCGCTTGGTTTCTTTTAGGCTGTCTGTCAAGAATTCATTAACTACAAATGTGAGTTCATATCTTATAGTGTGAAGATTGCAAGTTGAATATGTTGGTTTTCCAGAAGTTGAGTTTTTGCTATATTATCTCTCAATTGGTTTTCAAATTACATTGAAGGACACGAGTTGCAAGGAATTTAATAATTTTATTTCTTTAGTGGCTTCACTAAAGGATGTCTCTTAGATAATACAGAAGGCATATGTTAAAGTTCCTGATGTCCAGGTTGGATGAAACTCAACCAGGTCAACTGAATACCCATTCCTCGGATAATGCACCCATAATTATCCGATACCCTTTTATAGACGGTGGCATCAATGTTATTTAACTAGGGGACATTATCGGTACTAGCAGCAAAGTGGACGATATTGCCTACTGTGATAGGCCCGGTGGCTGTAGTAAAGGAAGAACAAGATCATTTTAGACTCTAATAACATTTCAGAACTACTGGAAACTAATAGGATTAAACCCGTAAAAATTGTTCCTGATGCAGTGATTGTTGGGCTTAGGGACGCAGGTCTATCCGTCTTAGACCAACAAATCTCCCATTGGATTGTTCAATATCAATCAACATTGCAGGTCTGTATATTCCAACAGTCAAGAGGTCACAGGCAACAGCTGGAGTAATCTTCAGATCGTGACATTCATGACGATCCCTTTGCCACTCGGTACCATTATTTCACTGATATTCTGCTTCCATTTTATAGCCCCATTGGATACATTAACTACAAACGCACAAGCTCTACTTCTGGTTTTTGGCCCTGCAAATTAACTTCTTGAAATCTAGAATCACTATACAGCCACATCAGAATTTGTTTTACGCATGGCCAATCATTTCTACTTCATAGGTAGGAACGATCCTTGGATTCCCACCATGGAAAAATCTGAAGATACCCTGGTAACTTAGAATTTGTATTATCATGTCCAAATTAGACTCTTGTTCCATAAAGCCATATGTATGTCTGCCTCTTCATATCACCATACCTGAAACTTGTAGCAGCATCATTCTCAAGTAATCAATGTTATGGAGGATGATCAGTTTGAGAGAGACATGATCAGCAAACTTCCCAGCAGTATTCTTGGCACCATCTTATCATTTCTCAGCCTGAGAAAAGCAGTGAGAACTAGTGTGCTTTCAACCAAATGGAGGAAGAATTGGACTACATCTCTCTGAGTCCTCAACTGTGATGTAGACAATATTCTTGGCAAAATTCAGTACTCGACGCTGATCATAGTTTTGGGCCTCATGGCTGGAGGGTTCACCAAGGTGAGAGATTATCATTTCTTAGGAAAAGAAGGCAAGCCTTTGTTTATTCTGTGAACCGATTTCTAATGTGTTTTGATTCTGATCAAAACATAAGAAAACTTAAGGTTTTCTTTAATATTTGCTTTGGGTAAGAACAGTAGTGATCTTAATAGTTGGATTATTTGCGCTACTGAAAAAGGGATTCAGGAACTTGACCTTTGTTTGTTTGAAAGGAAATACTATGCTGCACGGGATGATGATGATTATGATGATAATGATGATCTTTTAATCCATTATCTTGATGATTGGAGCACTAGACCCTTGTGTAGATTGTATGACTTTCCCTATCATCTTCTTTTTGGTGATGGGAATGCAGGAGAAGTAAGCTCAACATTGAGGTGCCTGAGATTGGAACAATGCAATTTGTCTCCAGAAAACCTCGATGTTCTTGGTTACAACACTCTCAAAACCTTGGATCTTTGATGGGTAGATTTGAAATCTGATCAACATGTTCAAAGTTTGTTATCTAGTTGCCCTCTGCTAGAATCACTGAGCTTACATAAATGCTTCCACATTTCTCACTTGAAGATTGAGTATCATTCAAGCTCTCATTTGAAGTGCTTAAGGGTTCACGGTGGAAATGAATTGAAGCAGATGCAAATCAAGGAAATGAACTGGAGACATTGGAATACAAGGGACACACAATAGATTTCTCATTCAGTGAAGTGCCTAATCTAAAGAATGCATTTATCCATCTTACATCTTTCAAGAGAGGTGAAAGTGCTCTTTGGTTGTTTTCTAGGCTTCTAATCCATCTGCCCCAGCTTGAAAATTTGTGGTTAAACTATTGCTTTGACTGGAATATAGACATTTACATTTTCTTATAGCTCTTTTTACAATTGAAGAATTCTAACTTGATCTTAATTTTTGATGTTTTAGATTGAGAACACTCCTGACAGAAAACCAGCTTTTAGTAACCTTAAACTTTTGTCAATTCCAAGTGCTTTCATGCCCCACCTCAACCTCTTGTGGTTAGCAAACGTTCTCAATGCATGTCCAACAATGCATTAGTTGGAATTGCACGTAAGAATTTCTTTGCCATTGCGAATTTTATCATTTTTAACCGTTGTTAGTAGATTAACACCTTAGAAGCTGCACTTTCTTCAAGAAGAAATAGAAAAAAGTTTAAGAAACTAAAAAAGGAATTTCATGCAAAGGTCACACCCTGCACATGATATTGGAGATATCAAGGAGTTATTGATTTCAACATGTTTAATTGGTATACTGTGAGATGTATTAAATTATTAATGTTGTAAGGGATAAGGCATAAGTTTCATGGCATTTTCCTTTTTGAACATAGTTTCAGTGCATTTTCTGAGAGCATAATTCAGATACATGTTTGAAATTATGCCTAAAGTTGTTATGATAAAAGAAATGATTTCAAATTTGGAATTTCTCATTCTTGACTGCAGTGATTTTGTTCAAATGCCCTACATATTGCTGCTAAACAATGCTGATTATATTGACGAAGTTAGAGAAATATGGTGGCCCTCTGGCTACCCCAAAGATTATCTCAAGGAAGTTCTGATAGCTGGCATGCATGGTTATATGAGTGAAATTGAGATTGTTGTTTTTCTACTAAATAATGCCATGGCACTAGAGAAGATGGTGATTGACCCATGCAGTAGATATTACAGTGGGTGTGGGAAATTAGAAGCTTTAGCAGCCTGTGCAAGATGGATTGGAACTAGAAGGTGGAGAGTTTCTAATCATCTTAGAGTTGAAGTTCGTCCACAGGTACAACTGTTGATTTTGTGACTATGTATTGGCAATACCGTGTTGATGATTTGCTAACTGCTCTGAACTTGGCATGAAAAATGTTAATGTCTAGTAATATGATACTAAATAGAAGTTTTAAAATGAAAATTCAATTCTTGATAATTTTGAGACAATGGCGCAAGCAGAAAACAAGAAAGTGTGTTTCTATTATAGGTATAGAGTGAAAGAAGGGCATTGAAACAAGCCTTTATGATAGGAAACCGGATGCATGAAATGCAAATGTACAAAAGGTTACATTCCAAGTTCATCCTTGTCTTTCTTGACTGTGCCAGATGCCCGCCAAAGTTCCCACAAACACTTCAGTGGGTAGTTTCCCTTGTTAATGATCATTAAGAACCCCAGTGAAGTCGTTAAGGGAACTTTAGTGGACAAC